GTTGTTACACAACCACACTTATGAGGCACTGCTTCGAGAAGAAAGAGGGAGTCATAACGTACCCAGATTTAGGAGAAGCTGCCTATGGAAAATTTGGACGTCTTTTTGTGTCTGTGAGTTTACTTTCTCATTATTCATGTTTTTCACATATATCTCAGTGCTTTCTTTGTCCCGAAGTGTACACTAGAGTCCAAATTTGTTACTCTGTTGTTAGGTGCATTTGAAATATCAATGTTGGTAGCATGCATCTGCATTGAACTTTTTTCTGCCATGACTACAAAATTTGTGAGTTAGATTTTCATTTAGATTCATATTTCTTTTCTGAATTACTTTAGTTCTAGTGATTTAATTATATATTATTATGCATGCATAATTGATGATTTTTTCCTAGAAGAATTGTTAATGTTATGATTCTGGAATTTTGATGCAGATCGTTTTATATTTGGAACTATATGTAAGTGAATCTCTAATCTATTGTCAACGTTTTCTTTTCAAGTAGAAAGATATTTCATTTTGCTAAACTTTGATGTTCTCTACACTTGCAGTGTTATTGCGTTGAATTTATTATCTTGGAAGGAGACAATCTAACCAATCTATTTCCTGGAACATCGTTGAGTTTGGGAAGTATTCAATTAGACTCTATGCATCTTTTTGGAATTTTAACTGCACTGATTGTTTTGCCCACTGTTTGGCTGAGAGACCTCCGTGTGATCTCCTACTTGTCAGGTAATGTATCATATATTACACTGATAGTTCTTATCTATGCTGGTCTTGATAATTTGGATATTTAGATGAAACTGTCTTCTTAATTTCAGCTGGCGGGGTCATTGCAACCATTTTAATAGTGCTGTGCTTAATTTTTCTTGGTACAAATGAAAGCATTGGGTTTCATCAAACTGGTGAAGTAGTGAACTGGAAGGGTATTCCTTTTGCAATTGGTGTGTGTGGATTTTGTTATTCCGGCCATTCCGTGTTTCCAAATATTTATCATTCCATGGCTGATAAAACAAAGTTCACCAAGGCACTAATGATATGGTACATGTCAAGGCTTGGAATGCTCTTTACTTTCCATTTAGCTTGATGTTTCTAATTTTTTTTTTTATCTTATGCAGCTTTATTTTGTGTGGTTTAATTTATGGAGGGGTTGCAGTCATCGGATTTCTCATGTTTGGCAAAAATACATTATCCCAGATAACTTTGAATATGCCAAAACATGCTGTTACCTCTAAAGTTGCAGTGTGGACAACAGTAAGTGTTATGTTGTCCTTTTATTTGCCACCTAAACTTATAAGCAGTGTGAGGTTTGCAATGTTTCTGAGCAATCTTGATTCTCTTACAGGTTATCAATCCATTCACCAAATATCCTTTTTAGATAGAGGCATCATTTTAGAAAACCAAGTGGCATAGTATTTTATCTTTAGACCAATGATTGAAATTGCTTCCTTGACACTGCTCAAATATGCACTGTTGATGAATCCATTGGCAAGAAGTATAGAGGAGCTACTACCACGTAGAATTTCAAATAGCTTCTGGTGTTTCATTCTTCTAAGAACAGCACTTGTTGTTTCTTCTGTTTGCGTGGCCTTCCTTCTGCCCTTTTTTGGTAATTGTCTTCTTCAAGTGTTTTGTTATTAGTTTACTTTCATTTTGTAAGTCATCTTAACATAATGGATTGTAATATAATGGATGATTATTACCTTTCCACTGACGCAATAGATGATGATAACCCTCCAAAAACAAACTTTCATCTAGTACCCCCAAATTGTTAGCTCATATATTCTCATGATAGGAACTCATTGATTAAGCATCTTGCTGTAAAGCCAAATTGTTAACTTTCCATGAGTAGCTTTATCCAAACATGGCAGATGAATTGAGCGTAAATAAAGCAGATTACTATTTATCTTGATTGTAGGTCTCGTGATGGCTTTGATTGGCTCCCTTCTCAGCATACTTTTGGTAAGTGCATTTTGTTGGTTCCTTTTCTTGATGAGATTGTATTCTTGTTTCTCCATTGCCCTTCGTTTTAGCTCATAGCTAGTTGTACCTAATGATCGTCAATATGTCAGATTTTAAATGGTCAACCAGCGGGCTGTTAGCTGTTAGCTGTTAATTGTTGGTAGCTTTTGTTATATAACTGCCATTAACATTTATTTTTTGGGTTAAAGAAATATAACCTTTCATTTGAGCATTAAGATCCACCCCTTCCAATCGTGCTCTTCAAGGGATAATCAAGTCAATTTAGCACGTTTCCACTGTTTTTCTCTGACTGAGATTTCTTCCATAGCTAATCAGCCCCGACTTTTAATATGTATCCGAAATATTTGCTTGAACGAAGGAAGGGATAATCATATATTCTTTAGATGTGGGTACATTCAACTTGAAGTGCGTTCCTATTTACTTGAGCAATAGGTGAAAAGGTTGATGGAAAATTAAAAATATAATTTGTGTATGTCATTGTCTATTAATTTCCATTCTTCGATCATCTCCCCTTCACCCTCCTCTAGAGCCTATTGGTAGCTGAACCATGGTGAATTGCCCAGTTTGTTATCAGTCAAAATCTACTAAGAGTTGGACTTAGGCTTGTTCATTTGTCTTCTTATGGATATGGATGTGTTTCTAATTGTATGATATTTGATTCAGGCGGTAATAGTGCCAGCCGTATGTTTTTTGAAAATCATGGGAGGCGAAGCTTCAAAGATGCAGGTATGCATCTTTTTAACTTATTATTTTTTTCTTTTTTTTTTAATTAAGCTTCTTGATAAAGTTTTATGAATTACAATAGTAGGGAGATAGTCCTCTTATATCCAGTATTCCCTTCTCAAGAAATAACAATGGACGCAATATATTGTGAATTTCATGAGGAAACTAATAGAATGTTAAGAAAGTTACATAAAACTTCTTTAGAGGATCATGGATGAACTAACGCAAGTCTAATCACTCAACTAAGAAAACCAATTACACTCAGACCCTCACTGTAACTTGAGGTTTTATGAAGTTTGAGCTTGGTACACGGATATTTAAACGGTCGAGGCATTTTGCTATTTCGTGAGCTGTTTGAATTTCTGTTTTAACATATTTCTCGTAGGGAAAGAGAATGAGAAATATTGTAAGGGAAAAAAAAAGGAAAAAAAACTCTAGAATGGGTGGATTGGGTGGCTGTGTAATGCAGGAAATCATTTTCTCTTAATAGGACTTGGAGTTTGTTCTGCAGAGAGACAAGATAGGAAAAGGAGAGTTGGTGTAGGCACAGAATATAATTAATCAGTGTGATTACACATTAATATTCTTAGTGTAAGGTTTATGGAGAAAGTAAGAAATGAGTATGATTACACTAACATTCATAGAAATTTACCGCCTGAACATTGGGAAATTCAAAACCAGCAGCAGAACTTCTCACTATGATTACACAATTTTCTTAAAGCTGTCTTTGACTCTTTATAAAAATTCATGTTCTATCCGAAAACGTTAAATGAAACATCTGTAATTTCTTATTCATTTGGTTTCTTTATTCTCCTTCTTCGTGAAATCAGATGACTTGGAGCAGCTTTATCATTGGACTCGGTGTCCTTAGTGCAATCTTTGGAACATACTCTTCTGTGTCACAGATTGCAGAGAGTTACTGAAACATATATGGTCAGAATAAATTTTCTGTAGGCTTCGTGTCTTGTAGCTGTCGATAGCTTCAGGTCATACATTATGCAAGCAGTTGACTTCTAAATAATTGCATATCCATTATTGCTTAATTGTTGTGTTGCCTCTCTTTATTGGGTGAAGATGTTGATTTCATGTTTGCTTATGCTGCTTAGATTAGCTATTTCTTTTGTGGTTTCGTCTTCACAAACATTCCATTTGGTCTGCGCCCTCTTTTTATTTGTGCATTAAACACCAAAAATAGTAAAGTCCTCTTATAGGCATACAAATTAATGTTTACAATTATTTGGTACAAAGCTCTAAGAAGAACATAGAAACTTGATTTATATAAGAGTAACCGTATATTTAAGTTTTGAGATTAAAGTTGATCAAATTTGACTTATTTTATGTCAATAAAATTTTCCCTTGTAGTCTCAGTTATGAAAATCAAGTGAGAAAAATCTGATAATAATAAATATTTTATTTTTTCAGTACAAATGTAATAATGGATAAAACAAAATATCATCTAAATTGAAGATATTTATTTAATGCTATGTGCTACATATTATCCAAGCAGTCTCTCTCCCTCGAACACGCAATGGAGTCATTGAGACTCCATGCAATGAATGAATGGTTCACAAATTTGGATGTTTTTTTTCTTTTTCTTTTTCTTTGGCAAAAAGACAATATTTCCTAAATTAAAAAATAAAAAATAAAAATTATGAGTTTTCAAAAGGTATGTCATGATTTTCTGATATCTCCATTCATAATTAATCTGTAAAGGTATAAAAATAATTTATTTGCAATCGCTAAACTAATTTATAATTTTGAAAAAAAACAAAACTAACTATTAAGAGATTAAGTTTGAGATAATTAAATTAAAAAATTATTTTGTAGTCACATTCTAAAGAAAATTAATTAAATTTTTTACCATGTTTGAATTAAAAAGAACAATAAAGCCCAACTTTCCAAGTTGCATATATATATAAAAAAAAACCATCACATAATGTAGACTTGATGGAGTATTTGTAACTTGAGTAGGATGTTTGAAGATTATGAATTTATGGCAAAATTGGAGTATAGAGCCTAAATTAGTTTATTTTTCAAAATTAGGGTTTTAACCAACGTATTGATTAATTTAGGATTGAATTTATAAATTTTCTCATAATTATAACATTTGTAGAGGGTGATTTTAATTGGGTAAAAGAAGTGATCAAAATTCAAATTAATTTCCTTAATTATATATTAAACAATTTGTTACTCTATAATTGATTAAACCCTATTACTGTGGGACAAAATTACACCACCCATCTCTAAACACTACAACAATATGACCAAATTTGGACGGTGATAGTATATGTTAGTTTGATACCAAATTTGTTGCAGGCTCAATCAAAAGTAGATGAACCATAATCAAAACCAAATATGTAATTTAAGGGATAATATGTGGATGATTCTTTTACTTTCACATAAGCTTGATAATAAACAATTACCTGAGATGAAGGTACTTGAAGTCAAGCCGCCAATTTGTCCACCATATCCCTCATGAAAATACCCTCCGAGCTCTCATACGAACCCCCAAGAAAACCATCACTGGAATCCTCCATTGCAGCCCAGTGAAGTAAGAGTTGTTCGTCGTCGTCGTCGTCTTGTATCTTTCGAACATTAGTCTCCGGAGTCTGGACGGAGGCCGAGGAGGCGGAAGGAGGAAACTTGGGCGCATCTTGGCCGGTGAGTTCTTGAACCAGGCCTCTAAACTCAGCCGCACTGGCTTGAACCCTCATGGGGTTGGATATGTACACAACTTTGAGAGGTTGGTTCTTCCGATCACAGGGTTTCCTGTTCCTTCTCCTTTCTTTCCTCCCCTCTTCCACGTCCCTCCCAACTAAACTCGATTCCATTTTTAGGGTTTGGGGGCAAATTTTGGCACACAAACCTCTCTTCTGCCCGCAACATCCATATATATAATTACTTCAGGATAACACAATTTCTAATTTCTTCTTATTTTGTGGAAATTGCTTAAATCAAATCTTATTGTAATCATTAATTAATTAATTAAAGGACACTAAATTTTGGGAAACCGGTAAGCCAATAGGGTTGAAGAAAGACAAGGAAAACAAAAACCGACGGATGTAGACGCAAGAGGAGCGCGTGGAGTGGAACAAAAAGAGCCGATTTGGTTATGTGTTCGCGCGTGCCATTAAAGGCTTTACGGGTCGCGTGGGGGCTGTGACTGTCCACCAATAATGGACTGACAACCCATCTTTATGGTGACGTCAGGAGGATTCTTTGTAATGACGTCATAATTAAAAGCAGACACCGATATTGGGGAAATTGTGAATATTCGATCTGTGGCTCAGAATCTGTTAACGTGTAGTAAATGATGTTATGATGACCTTGAATCATATGCAAAATGGCTAAATCAAAAGGTCAAAGTTGTTGGGCTTCTCTTCAGTTTGGTGGAGAAGCCCAATGAAAAAGCCCATGTCCAAGTTGTTGGGTTTAATTTGTAGGACTTTTCTTTCAGCCCAATCCAACACACAAAGGGTACCAATTGTGACTTTTGCTCTGGGAAGGGGGTAAATGCGTAATTCTACCATCTATTCCAATCAAAAGCTTATATATATATATATATATTTTTTTTTTTTTACGTTTGATGGTTGACCCTGTAGTTGCTCTAAATCACAGGAATGCCCTTCTCCCTCCCCCTTTTTTGACTAACTCTAGTTGCTATGGTGAAGTTAGAGAGCAGAGAAGGGGGAGGCGGTGGCGGTGGCGTACCCACCTCAGAAGAATCGGCAATAGAAAAATAGGAGAAGGGAGAAAGTGGTAGCATCAATTATGATTAATTAAATAAAGGTTTTTTTTTTTTTTTTTTTTTTTAAAAAAAAAAGGACGCAAGG